TTTTTTTTGTTCTAGTTTATTTTTAAAAAAACCGCTGAAAAATAAATCTGAATTTTATCTTCCAAACACTCAGAAAAACAAAATCCAACAACTTGGTCTGATGAAATTATCGTTAATATCGTCAATAATGATAATGAATCTAGCGAAGATGATGAAGACAGTGATTATTAAAATCAACATATAAAAATCTCTCATACAGATGGACTAAAAGCTATCGAATGTACTATTGAATATATAGAACAACAAAAAGAGGCGACACCAGCCTTCCTGTTATCCCTAAAAAAGGCGTAACATTACTACAGAAAAGCGCCAAAGTTACGTAGAACGAAAAACGATTAAGGACTTTTTTTAAGTAAAAACTATTTAATTCTCGTAAAGTATGCTTTTTAAATGTTTTTAAGTAAGCTTTTTAATTATAATATAAATTGTATGTGGTATACTCGTATACATTTTGTATTTCTTAAATATATTACATTTATACCTTCTCTTTTTCTTTCCGTTTTTATACTCTTCGCTTNTAATTTTTCTTTGTTTTATTCTTCATTTTGAACTTATGTATATATATATATATATATATATATATGTATATATATATAAAAAAATAAAATATACAAATACACTTAGAACTCTCTTGTCGTCGGGTAAACAATGGGAGATTTTCATGTTCTTCGACTCAATGTATCGCAAATATGAATTATTATCACTGAAAAGTTCACCTGGGTTTATTGCAATGCTTGATCCAGGGTTTCTCTTGCCGTCTGGGTTGGGTTTAAAGTTGCAAATTTATAAAAAAAAAAAGCACGCGAGTTTATTTTTTTGTCAGAAAACACTCGAAGAACTTTACTTAGTGCCTTAGTACATTCACTTATAGTTTTGGAATTACGAGACTCAGAAAAATTAATTAATATTGTAAAGCTAAAAAATAGAACTAAATTAAGATATATCCTCGCCATATCTAATCTTTTTTTGCCATCCTATAGCTTAAAAATTATTTTCTATAAGCTCAACAATTAATTATGTGTTCAATCTATCACTCATTAGCAATATTTTTAATTTTTAATTATAAATAAAGGAAAATAAATAAAACATTTATAATATAAATGTTTATTCATAAAGTATATTGTTTTAACACGTTTTATCACCAAATTCTTCTTTAAATGCAACTTAATAATATTTTTTGTTTGTTTAAAGAAATATTTTAAATTTACGATTGAAAATACAATTCTTTATACCTAGTTCAAACCTTTGGATTTTACCTAAGGTAAGAGTGGTCTAATTGCAGCGTTTTAAAATGAAAACCAGATGAAAAAACTGGTACCAGATGAAAACCAGATCATAAAAAATATGTCATAATCCAGCTTTAGAAACTATACCCACAATAAACTTTTCAATGTACAAATTTGTTACGTTCGAAACAAGAATTCTTGAAAAATACATTTTCAGTTTATAGGTGAACAATAATAATTTAAACAATTGAAATAATTAATTTTAATATTAGTCGAAAATGAATATGCATCGGCCGGGAATCGAACCCGGGCCGCCCGCGTGGCAGGCGAGCATTCTACCACTGAACCACCGATGCTTGTTATTATTTTAAATTAGATGCATTATTTTCCACGAATTGAGAGCATTAACCTAAATCGATACTCAGGTAAAGCACACCTGCAGGCGAAGATTTTCTCCTTCAAGGTATCCGACTACCTTCGGGACAAAATTTTTGAAAAATAAGTATTTTTCACAACATTATTGCAATTTATATTGTATATTAATTTAAATAAACATATTTAATAGAGGAAATTTTAATATACTGNCTTAGTTGAACATTAGTAGTCGTTAACCCAAAAATTGGGTCGGCTGTTCAACGACGATTATATATATATATGTATATATAAAAAAAAAATAATACCGATCAGTGATGATCAGTGAATGTCTAAACTAAAAGGCATTCGAGTATTGCTTTTAGCTAAATGCACTTAGAACTCCCTTGTCGTCTGGTAAACAATAGGAGATTTTCACGTTCTTCGACTGAATGCATCGCAAATATGAATTATTATCACTGAAAAGTCCACCAGAGTTCATTGTAATGCTTTATCCAAGAGTTCTCTTGTCGTCTGGGTAGGGTTTAAAGTTGCAAACGTATGAAAAAAGCACGAGAGTTTATTTTTTTGTCGGAAAACACTCGAGGAATTTTACTTAGAACCTTAGTACATCCACTTATAGTTTTGGAATTAAAAGACTCAGTAAAATTAATTAATATTGTAGAGCTAAAAAATAGAAGTAAATTAAGATCTATCCTCGACAAATCTAATTTTTTTTGCCATCCTATAGCTTAAAAATTACTTTCAATAAGCTCTACAATTAATTATGTGTTCAATCTATCACTCACTAACACAATTTTTAATTTTTAATTATAAATGAAAGAAAATAAGTAAAATATTTATAATATAAATTTTTATTCATGAAGTGGATTGTTTTAACACGTTTTATCACCAAATTCTTCTTTAAATGCAACTTCATAATAATTTTTTGTTTTTGTTTAAAGAAATATTTTAAATTTGCGATTGAAAATACAATTCTTTATACCTAGTTCAAACCTTTGGATTTTACCTGAGGTAAGAGTGGTCTAATTGCAACGTTTTAAAATGAAAACCAGATGAAAAAACTGGAACCTGATGAAAACCAGATCATAAAAGAATATGTCATAATCCCGTTTTGGAAAATATACTCACAATAAACTTTTCAATGTACAAATTCGTTACATGCGAAAAAATAATTCTGGAAAAATACATTTTCAGTTTATAGGTGAACAATAATAATGTAAACAATTGAAATAATTAATTTTAATATTAGTCAAAAATGAATTTGCATCGGCCGGGAATCGAACCCGGGCCGCCCGCGTGGCAGGCGAGCATTCTACCACTGAACCACCGATGCTTGTTATTATTATAAATTAGATGCATTATTTTCCACGAGTTGAGAGCATTAACCTAAATCGATACTCAGGTAAAGTACACCTGCAGGCGAAGATTTCCTCCTTCATTTAACTGGTAGATGTCTTCTCACCTTTGATCTCAAAATCACCGAACCTAGCAATCTTCCAGAAAAAATTACTAAGAGACGGTTTTCTTTTTAGTTTTAACTTTTTTTTAAATATTTTTTTTTGGAAAATAATTGCTTATTTTTGTTGTAAATAAATGTTTCGTAAATGGGTTCCACTTACATTTTCGAAAATCGTCTTTTGTGAGAGAATATTCTTATCTTTTTAAATTTTCAGTGAGTTAAATAAACGGATAAAAATACTTTTTCTAAGTAGAATTTTTGAAAGAATTGCAATGTATATTAATGCTGTGTATGCAAAAAAAAAAAAAAAAAAAAAAAAAAAAAAAAAAAAAAAAAAAAAAAAAAAAAAAAAANAAAAAAAAAAAAAAGAAGAAGAAAAAAAAAACACTGAAAACATTAATTGAGTTTTTTAGGAAAACAGTTTTCAAACTAATTCCGTCGATTTTTGACTATTAATACAACACAAAATAAACTATTTATGAAATCTAGGTCACACTTTGTGGGCCCATTGTGCCAGGGCCGAGTAAAATTCCTTACAAAAAGGGAATTTTTTTAAAATTTAATTAAAAAATTAGTACAGAGGATTACTTTTTCATTTCTTTTTTTCAGTATAAAATATCGTTTTAATTTTTAAAAGTATGTTTGTAACGTTTCACGGTATATTAGTCTTTTGTTGTAATAAAACACGTAATTAAACTAATACAATAATTGAAAATAAATATTTCAATTTGTTTATGAAAATTGTTAAACTGTAAGCTACCATCTATCTCCAATTAAGCTTTTTATTAAAACTTTCCAAATAGTAAATTATTATTTTTTGTGTTTTGGTGAATTGACTCGCAATGAACCTTTGTCTAGGTGCCTAAAGAACTTAGATCTAGACTTGTTTAAAGTAATTTTTAATACGTAAGTCAGAGTGTTTAACGCTAGCAAG